TTTCATCCTTAGATGCACCATCTATGCAAGTTTAATCATAACAGGCCATAATATTATATAGCTACTCCAAAAAATTACCCTGGTCACTCATCTGGAAAATGTACGTCAGATTCAGAATCCAAGGCAAGTCTGGAAGTATCCATCCCTAGATACATCATCCATGCTAATTTGGTTAAAATATGGCTAAAATTCACTCATGTGGAAAATCTAGGTCAGATCCAGCATTCGAAGCAGGTTGGTTAGTGTACATCCCTAGATGCATCATCCATGCAAGTTTGGTCCAGGTAGGGCTTATAGTAACTTGGGAACGAGACTACTCCTAAATCTAAACCTGGTCTCACATGTGGAAAATCTAGGTCAGATCCAGCTTCCGAAGGAAGTGTGGTAGTGTCCATCCCTGGATGCATCATCCATGCAAGTTTGGTCCAGGTAGGGCTTACAGTTACTTGGGAATGGACCTGCTCCTAAAACTTTAACCTGGTACACATCTGGAAAATCTACATCAGATCCAGCATCCGAACTAAGTGTGGCCATGTCCATCCCTAGATGCATCATCCATGCAAGTTTGGTCAAGGTAGGGCTGATAGTTACTTGGGAATGGACCTGCTCCTAAAACTTTAACCTGGTCACTCATCCGGAAAATCTAGGTCAGATCCAGCATCCGAAACAAGTGTGGTAGTGTCCATCCCTAGATTCATCCATGCAAGTTTGGTCCAGGTAGGGCTTATAGTTACTTGGGAATGGATCTGCTCCTAAAACTTTAACCTGGTCACTCATCCGGAAAATCTACATTAGATCCAGCATCCGAAGCAAGTGTGGTAGTGTCCATCCCTAGATGCATCATCCATGCAAGTTTGGTCCAGGTAGGGCTTATAGTTACTTGGGAATGGACCTGCTCCTAAAACTTTAACCTGGTCACTCATCTGGAAAATCTAGGTCAGATCCAGCATCCGAAGCAAGTGTGGTAGTGTCCATCCCTAGATGCATCATCCATGCAAGTTTGGTCCAGGTAGGGCTGATAGTTACTTGGGAATGGACCTGCTCCTAAAACTTTAACCTGGTCACTCATCCGGTAAATCTAGGTCAGATCCAGCATCCGAAGCAAGTGTGGTAGTGTCCATCCCTAGATGCATCATCCATGCAAGTTTGGTCAAGGTAGGGCTTGTAGTTACTTGGGAATGGACCTGCTCCTAAAACTTTAACCTGGTCACTCATCTGGAAAATCTAGGTCAGATCCAGCATTCGAAGCAAGTGTGGTAGTGTCCATCCCTAGATGCATCATCCATGCAAGTTTGGTCCAGGTAGGGCTTATAGTTACTTGGGAATGGGACTTGCTCCTAAAACTTTAACCTGGGACGCCGATGCCGACGGTATAGCATAAGCTCATCTCGACTTCGTCGAGGTGAGCTAAAAAGGGTTCATAATTATAAACTACACATTTAATCTCAAAGCTATAAAATACACGTTATTTGGTATTTGTCATCATTACAAGAATAGCACCTTTATGCCTTAACACTGCACAATAATCAAACACAGGAAAAATTTCATCTCTTCTACATTTTCATGTATGTGTGTGTGTGTGTGTGTGTGTTTTTCCCTCCTTTGTAAAATAATGTACAATAGATTGACTTTGAAGTGTATGTAAATAAGCATTTATCTAAATGCTAACAAGTGATGATGATTAATAAGAGTGTGCAATGTAATCACTTTAAGTTTGGAATACTGTTCATCACTCTTTATTAGCGAGAACTTTATTTTCAAGTAAATATGTGAGACTGTCTATTTGCAAAAATTTCATTCTTACATTTTTAGTAGTAAAGATTGTATCTGTAAATGTGAAGGTGTATTCTGAAAGTGGTTATGAATCGGGAAACAAAAGTCAGAATTCATGTCTTGCTTATAAATACCAAATACCTATCTTGCAAAAAAAAGGTGTCACAAAAATGTTTAGTAAATAGAATTGAAAATTCCCATCACATTATTTAAATATTGCACTTAGTTTAGTGTAACATTGAAAATTTTCACCCCAAGAAAACCATTGTCAACCGAGGTGCAGCAATACTTATTATATTATACTGAATGTTTTCTACAAATACATATTACAGTGAACCTTGCATGCATAAATTCTGCGCAATCAATATTTTTTGGAATATCACCCATCGTCAAGCAATGTTGACTTTTCCTATGCTGGAGGGCGTTGACTTTTCCTATGCTGGAGGGCGAGGCTTCCTTATTCAGCGGGTAATAATGTTTTTTAACAAATGTTTCTTGACGAATCAGATTCAACTAATTTACATGAAAGTATAATATAATAAATTGTACCTAGATGTTAAGTACATTTCTCTGATTATAATTCTATCATTTTATAGGAATATTCGTATATTATACATTCAGCAATACTGTGTTCTAGACATTTAACGTCCATTTACAGAGGATACATATGTTGTTAAATGACCTCTCATTATATCTGTTTATGTAACATACAACAAATATCTAGATTACAGGTCAGAGGTATTCCAATTTTGATAACAATCATAGACAATGCAATGGCTAACGGCCGTATCCCATAATATATACAACCTTCATTTTCAGCTTTAATTTAGAATTTACTTGTTACATTAAAAATTCACAGCTGCCATAGATAATGATGATCTACATGTATCAAAAGTCATAGAATCATCAAGATTTATACCCATTAACTTGCTACAATTTCTCACAATGAAACAGTGCTGTTGCCAGCTCTACTTGGGCCACTAAAACACTCAATTTGACCTATTTACTTCCATTTCAAGAATTAACATGCAAATTTATGTACTGTAAGCGTACTTTTTTCTATGTACCATTAATTTACGCTATGTATGTGGTCACAAATTTTCCACAGAAATTTGTCACAACATATTTAAAAGGTATTTAAGACAAACAGTGGGAACCCAAGAAAATCTATGTAATTTTCTACCCACTGAGTGAACACAAATTGTGATTCTTTGGAATTATGACTTCATGGAAAAAAAAATGTTTACAGTATTTTCATCTAGGAAATTGTTCCAAGTACAGAAGACCTCAAATAATTTAACATGGAATAATAATTAATTGAAGCCAATTAATTTAAGTCATGCATACCAGGTAATTAAAGAAGGTGGGTGAACAAGGTGAGCAAAATGCCTATTGTGTAACAAACAAGAAAGTGAAAGATCAAATCTCAATTATGACAAAATTTTCTTTCATATTTCATTCAACATTAATGTATACTCTATGTAAAATCTCCACAAACTGCTACAATCTCACAAAGATTGAAATTATTTGTCTATGATATAGCATACGCACACCAAAGAGGGCAAAAATTATTGTTTTGTCATGCTATCTCACAATTTTTCCATATGAGTGGGTCTTTGCTCCATTTTTTGAAAGATTATACTCAATGTATGAGTAAAACTACCACTGTATACATTTCAGTTAACAAAAACATGGAGCACTATTCTAAAAAAAAATACACTTTTATGACACAACACGCCCATCTTTCTGAGAAATATTTGAAGTCCATTTAGTCAAGGGTCATTTACAAATGTGATTTAAATTCCCATATTTGTCATGAGCTGTGTAGCATAGTGGTTTTCGTGTTAGTTTCTAAGGAAAAACTGATATTCAGGATTTTTATTGCTTTGGTTTGAACCCCAAGAATACCACATTTTCTTTTTAAACCATAGAATGATTTTTGCTGAAAGAATTTTATGCAGAAAAGTTTTGTTTGTAATGATTTCATACCCTTCAATAAGAATTTTTTTCTAAATACTTAATTCACAAATTGAATATAACCTTTATACATTTGAAGCTAAAGGCATTTTGCACGTCTTGTTTGCCCATCTCCTTTGCATTTAAAGCAAAGGATAGAGAGTGTTGTTTTTCAAAAACTTGAACCTTTTTTTAAAATTGAATATTTACAATCAAGAGCAGAATCATGTAACAAAAGCTAAAATTTCAGAAAAATCCTGACAAAATGCATGAGAAAATGATTTTACACATTAATTAGCATTTTAAAAAAATTTGAATTTCCAAAAAAAAAAAAAAAAAATTCTAGGAATAAAATTTAATGAAGCACAAGGCAAAAATGAAAATTTTCTAAAATGCCATGGTCTCCTTTATTATTTTATAATAAATGATCTTTACCTATACAAAAATATTAAAATTGTTTGATATTTTAGTCCATTGCTGTCTCATGTGTCATGCATGCAATACAGACTGACTGGATGAGTGAAATCATTATGTTCATGTATATAGTGATTAAAGAATACATACTTTGACTATAAAATACATACATTGTACGTAATGATTACTTTAAAACTATACAAAATGTATGCATTGATTCAAGAACACATTCCATTTGACTATACAATTAAATTTTCTATAATGAGATATGATAACGGTATCAATTCTATTGAATAAAAAAATATTTCAAGAAGTAACATGCTAAATGTAAAAGTTTTAAAGTGAAAAAAAATTACCACAATGTCAAACATTGACCTGAAACATACACACACCAAATCAAACATTGAAGGAAAAATTATCTAAAAGGCTGAAATGCTTACCACTGCCTTATAGGCTGCATAAAAATAAAATAAACATCACTGTAAGACGTTGTAAACAAGAGCATGTATACCCACTGTAAACTATAGTATGCACTTCCTGTAAATTACAGCATATCACAGACTATGCCAATCCTCATGACTACTATGTGCCTACACATTGTTACATGTCTGTGTGTAGTTTTCTAACAGTCAGATGGACATAAATTACCAAGTTACACAGCTTCAATTATTCAATGCATGATCATTAATTAAAATTTACACTTTGTAAATTGGACCCATACTTCACCAACATTCAATTTACATGTATTTTATATAATTCATTGGAAAACGTTAAAGCATATTTTAACTTATTGTATATAAAATGACTAAAATGATAAATTCTTAATCTTAACCAGTAATCAATATAAGAAAACATTACAAAGAGATATGAAAGGGATGAACAAATGTCAAAGAACACAGTGTACAAAATATGTCAAAAAATCTCTCTATATCTAATCATTAAAGCTCAATATTTCATAATGATAATAAAACATCTTTAGCGAAGAACAGTATGAAAAACAGTTAAATTTCAAATATCCTATGTGAGCCCCGAGACACAAGTTGTGATTGTTCACTGGGGGTGTGTCTGGAATGTGTTTGATTGACAGGCCAGGGATTGCTGGGAGGGAAGAGGGTCACATGATCCACACTTACGTTGTTCTGTAATAAGATGTGATCTTCAGGGTGAATCATGCCATTTCTGTTTAATAGATTAACCTCTGTCTTGGAGTGGGGAAGCCCTTTGGGGTTGAGATGGGCTTGTAGATTTGTTTCACTATGCACTAAGGGCAGCGTTTCAGCCCGGCGACGTGCCATGTTCTGGTCAAATTTGGCCTAAAACACAAAGTTTGGAAATCATGAAGAGAAAAAAAAACATAAAGAAAAGTTCTTTAAGAAGTTTTAAATCCAATTTTAAAATAAACTCTTATATATATTACTGTGATGTAGGCCAGGAGTTGATCTCCATCAACATTAATCTTGAACATTCATGTTCAATTCACAGTCAATATGAAGAAAGAGCTCAATAACATTCATATTTAAAGACAAGAGGCCCATGGGCCACATCAATCACCTGAGCACATTGGCTAGGAAAAAAAGCAAAAATCAGTACAGTATTGAAAAGTTTACAGGGAGGGGGGTGTTGAATTTTAAACTACCTGATGATGCTTTCATATCAATATAACAAATGGCTTTGTTGTTCTTGAGCAGCAGATTTTTTTCCCATATATTCATTTGTAAAAATTTGATCCCCCATTGTGGCCCCACCCTACCCCCGGGGGCCCTCATTTGAACAAATTTCATTCTACACTACCCAAAGATGCCTCCATATCAATTTGACTAATCATGGCTTTTCTGTTCTTGAGAAAAAGACTTTTTCCTATATATTCCTCTGTAAACTTTGATCACCCATTGTGGCCCCAACCTATCCCCAGGGTAATGATTTGAACAAACTTGAATCTTCACTACCTGAGGATGCTTCCATATAAATATGACCAATCATGGCTTTACTGTTCTTAAGAAGAAGATTTTTAACGATATTTTCCTATATATTTCTATGTAAAACTTTGATCCCCAATTGTGGCCCCACCCTACCCCCGGGGGTTATTATTAGAACAAATTTGAATCTTCACTACCTGAGGATGCTTCCATATAAATATGACCAATCATGGCTTTACTGTTTTTAAGAAGAAGATTTTAGAGATATTTTCCTATATATTTCTATGTAAAACTTGGATCCCCCATTGTGGCCCCACCCTACCCCTGGGAGTCATGATTTGAACAAACTTGAATCTACACTACCTGAGGATGCTTCCATATAAATATGACCAATCATGCCTTTGCTGTTCTTAAGAAGAAGATTTTCAAAGATATTTTCCTATATATATCTATGTAAAACTTGGATCCCCCATTGTGGCCCCACCCTACCCCCGGGGGGCATGATTTGAACAAACTTGAATCTTCACCACCTGAGGATGCTTCCATAAAAATATGACCAATCATGCCTTTGCTGTTCTTAAGAAGAAGATTTTTAAAGATATTTTCCTATATATTTCTATGTTAAACTTGGATCCCCAATTGTGGCCCCACCCTACCCCCGGGGGTCATGATTTGAACAAACTTGAATCTACACTACCTGAGGATGCTTCCATATAAATATGACCAATCATGCCTATGCTGTTCTTAAGAAGAAGATTTTCAAAGATATTTTCCTATATATTTCTATGTAAAACTTGGACTCCCATTGTGGCCCCACCCTATCCCCAGGGGACATGATTTGAACAAACTTGAATCTACACTACCTGAGGATGCTTCCATAAAAATATGACCAATCATGGCTTTACTGTTCTTAAGAAGAAGATTTTTAAAGATATTTTCCTATATATTTCTATGTAAAACTTGGATCCCCCATTGTGGCCCCACCCTACCCCCGGGGGGCATGATTTGAACAAACTTGAATCTACACTACCTGAGGATGCTTCCATATAAATATGACCAATCTTGGCTTTACTGTTCTTAAGAAGAAGATTTTTAAAGATATTTTCCTATATATTTCTATGTAAAACTTGGATTCCCCATTGTGGCCCCACCCTACCCCCGGGGGTCATGATTTGAACAAACTTGAATCTACACTACCTGAGGATGTTTCCACATAAGTTTCATCTTTCCTGGCCCAGTGGTTCTTGAGAAGAAGATTTTTAAATGATGCCTTTATTTTTTCACTAATTCCTAATTATCTCCCCTTGAAATAGGGCGTGGCCCTTCATTTGAACAAACTTGAATCCCCTTTACCCAAGGATGCTTTGTGGCAAGTTTGGTTGAATTTGGCCCAGTGGTTCTTGAAAAGAAGTTGAAAATGTGAAAAGTTTACAGACAGACAGACGGACAGACAGACGGACGCCGGACAAAATGTGATCAGAAAAGCTCACTTGAGCTTTCAGCTCAGGTGAGCTAAAAAGGACACATGTAGGCAGTTAGAAAAGACAAATATCACATTTCTATGCTGTATTTTGGAAAAATGTTCATAATTTTTACCATCTTTGAAGATAAAAATGCAAAACTTCACAGTTGATATCTAACATTTGCTATGTATTTTTCATATAAAATGTGTTGAATGCTTTGGCATTTATAATACCATAACACAGACAAGGATGCCAAAAGTAAAAGTAATGATTTTTAATGTAACGTCACAAACATTGAACACTGTACAACTGCATGCTATTCAATTTGTCAGAACAGCCATCTGTGTTATGACATAATGAAGATCAAAAATTTACAATTCAATACTTAATTAATCATTACTTCAAAATCTAACTTTATATTACCTTTAAAAAAGAACAAAACCCAAAATTTTGGCACACTCATTACGAGTTCAAGGATTACCTTATTGTAACACAAAACTCCAAAACAGGCTACAAGCATCCCCACCACATTGGCAGTGGTGACGGGATTCCGCAGGAGGAATAAGGAGGCACTGATGATTACGACCCTCTTCATGGCATTCGCCACTGAGTAGCTAAGGGGGGCCACCATGGCAATCACAGTAAACGCAAATACATTGTGAAGCATGTAAAACAAGCCGTCTAAAATCAGCAAGAGCAAAGACTTCGTCACATCTGTATTCTCCTAAAGAAATATACACAATAATAGTCAAGGAATTAAAATAAAAGCTATTGTATAATGGTGCTTCTAGCAATAACTGCAGTAAGTGCATGATTTTTTGGTTAATTGGGTAAGGCCAAATAAAAAAATATGTGTGGTTCCGGTTACCCGACCGTCCCTATTTTATACCCCCGACCCTAAACTTTTTTTTGGCAATTTTCATATTTTTTCCGGAATTTTCCCCGATTTCCATCAATGGCTCTGGTTTAAGTTTTAGCAATGATGGCCTTCTTGCACAACATAGTGCAAGTGTTTAATAGTGTTAAATCCAAAGCAAGCTAGCACGTAGGTGTGACAGTGTCCCCTACCAATATTGACTAGTACAGTGTATATTATCACACCACATCTAAATGTCATTTGCAAAGCAGTAATAGGTATCATTTAAAAAATTAAGAAAATCATTTTGTTAAAAAAAAAAAATAAAAATAAAATTTTTTTTTAAAAAATCCCTACCTACCTACCCTAATTTTTTTGGAGGTGTAACCGGAACCACACATATTTTTTTGTTTGGCCTAATTTGATGCATGTTTATTGTTGGTTGTATTCATGACTATATGCCAATGTATGACGGTGTTGTCAATGAATGAATGGAAAATGAACTGAATAACATTGTTGAGTAATGACCAGTTCATTAGCTAATTCATTCTTCAAATGAATTGATCAAGCAGAGTCTAGCCAAAACCTTTTTTATTAAATGTTTAACGTTAGATGACTTATCTGAATTCTTACAAACACATCACTGTTGGCGATGTTCCTGCAGTCAAACAGGAGCCAGAATGGGAGGAAGAAAATCGTGGCGATACGACTCAGAAGAACGAGAAGGCGCAGGTGGTTTATACCTGTGTCCTTGAGGCACTGAAAACCAGAAATCATTTTCTACATATATTGATGTGTATGATCAATTTTTGCATTCGTTTTTATGATATTCTTTTGATAGAAAATGGTCCATTTATGATTAAAGTTCATTACATGTATCAGTCATGAAAAATTCTAATTCACGGAAAAAATTTCAACTTGTCACTTTTCAACCAATATTATAGATCGCTTTTACCTGGTACATGTTCCTATACAGAATTACACTCACCTTTTTGGAAAATATGGACTGTAATGAGAAACCTAGGGTGGCAACTAGAGCACTGAGCAATGCTAGGGCCTCAAAAGAGACTTCTGTAAGTGTAGCCACAATGACACCAACAATGATAGGCACTATGGACAGGTATACCTGAAAATTATCAACACATCAACACAATGAACCAACAACAATGGGCACTATGGACAGATATACCTGAAAATTATCAACACATCAACACAACGGCAACAATGATAGGCACTATTGACAGGTACACCTGAAAATTATCAACATAAAAACAAAAAGATCTAGAGTACAGAACATCATTAATATACCAGTTAAATAATGTATGTTAGGATTAACAAGTGGTACAGTTAGTCTTTAATGCATTCAACAATAATATTTTAATTATCAGTTTGTATTTCAGCAAGAAGTGGGTTATATTCCTTTAAAAGTCATTTGTCTTTTTACATTTCCTAAATAAAAAAGAAGTACCGGTAAAAGGACAATGGGTATAGCTTTACTTACTGGGAGAGTTTGAGTTTCTCCTAATAGAACTCTTGACAGTACAACTGTGAACAATGGCAAGGTAGCTTTTACTGAAAATACAGGTAAATATTACATATACAACTATCATAAAAAAACAATTTCTAAATATTTACATCAGCAAACATTTTACCTTACATACACCTATTTGAGCGATAAATATCTTTCACTGTGTAGATACAGTTTGTCACATGACCATCTATCTATTTATTGAACATTTAATAAATGGTCGGTAGAATTTCTTGATATGTTAAACAGATTCAATTTGCTGTAATTTTTGAGTTTTGAAAAATATTTCATGTGTTTCAAACTATATCTATTGGGTATGCAAATATCTGATCATAAATCAGTCACAAATGAAAGTATGGGTAATTATCCTTTATAACATTTATCTAGGCATAGATTCAGATTAGTTCGTGATCAACTCTACAATTAAGCCTTTGGGCTTTATGGAATTTGATCACCTCAATCTGTATCTATATCCCAATTGATGGTAAAAATGATTCCATATTTCTGTTGAAGAAACTTTCAAACCATTTAACTCCATGACAAAGTCTCTAGATGGATAGCTTTTACCTTTAAAAGATGGATTGGCAGAATTACTGATGCAGCTATAACTGCAATCACTGTTAAACTAATCATCACTTATTGATTTTAATTAATTTCATGACAGAAATTGAGATTAATTAAAATAGAAGGTCTACATTTATACAGATCTACATAAGAGCTATGTGTACTTAACAATTTATAGAATAAGATGCTGTTTAACCCATGCCCACAGATTCATTATGAATTAAGTCGTAAATGATCAATAGAATTTCTCTGCAACATCATTATGGCTGAAAAATTTATAGAGTATTGAAAAGCAAGCAAAAGATTATAGGAGCACAAAGGTATGTGCTACAAGTCAGTCACAAATGTAACTGTAATAAGGTATCGTATTTAAACATCTGTCAGGATAATATAGTTACGGGATGGTACATAATCCAATCCACCAATCTGGGATTTGATCATGCAAATAACCCACATATCTATATCCTGTTCAAAAATGATATCTTATTTCTTAAAGCCGTATATGGCGTAACTGAGCAAAAAAAGTATATTTTGAAAAATATGAAATTCAGTGGAGATTTTCAGTTTATAGGCCTACATTAAAAATTAAAACTTTAAATTTAAAGACAAAATAAAGAATAATGAAAGAAACCCAAAATAAAAACTATGCAATCCATAGATGAAAAAAAAGCTTTGTAAAGCAATCACTTAGTATAACCCTTTGTATTTTCTGATCCACCACATAAAACTTTAGATCACCTGTGTGGGCATAGGAGACAGAGGATTTCCATATGCTGATATGTGAGGAAACGGAGGAGAAGAATTTGCCAAACGCCAAAGGCAAGATGAGTTTATAGTAGTAACTCCGAGGAATGTTCCCAGTGTTTGGAGTCTGTAGAAACCAGAAAATCGGTTCCATGTAAACAGAGATGGAGATGAGTTGCGTCATCGTTACCGTCACAGGGTACGGGAACTCATTCAGCACAAGTTTTCCGATGATGTTTCCACCAGCACTGCAGATATACCACATTAAACAGACCATGATAAATTTTAACGTCTCTACATAATTGTGTTCCTCCATTCTGTGGCGATTCTAGGGTTGGAACACGACCCGAAACAAGCATATGGATTATCCCGGCATTTTTGACGGCTGTGACTCCGTACACGTTGCTGACGATAAAATATGTCCGCAGTAAATAAATTACTTGAAAATAAAATCCTGTATCCAAAAATATACAAAAAAGAATAAACATACAGCAATAAAATAACAAAGATAAGCATTCGATTTTTATTCTTAAACAATTTTCCACAGACCCCTAATTTTTGGTGCGATACTGTAACATGTCAGCGCCCATGTGTCTGAAGTTGAAAGTAGGAATGCTCGAGAAATGAGACGATGGCAGATTGTGAAATGTTTAGGACTTATATGTGTTATTTTTGTACTGTTCCAATTTTTCCTATGGTTTCACTTTCCATCAAAAGGTGTAAGTATATATGGTTTTCTTTTGTTCGAGTGTTCCAAACAAACTCATGAACTCTGTTTTAATATTTTTCATGTTTTTCATATACTGAACGTATCCAGGTCCGCCACAGTCTCTTTATTTAGCCATATTGCTAAATGAAGAATTTGTGCTGGACCTGGTAGCTGTATGTTCACAACAATTTCTACGGATCACAGGTCTGTAAAAAGGACTTAAACAGGTTGGGCACAGTTCCTTTTTCGAGGAAGTATTACTATAAAACGGGATTATTCCTTTTTTCAGTAATAAAAACATTACTGTATATGAGAAATTTCGTCATTTTTTTAAAATAATAATAAATCCATTTATTGAATAAAAAGTTCATGAAAAATACGATGTGATGTGTTGAAACTTTATTAAACCAACCTCGCTGACAAAAAAATTCGGTCCTTTGGTGTTGCAGACAGGAGTAAGATGAGATTTAATCGTACGACATCATGAGTATTCTTCAAACAGATGTGAATATTTCCCTTATAAGTATATTATTATTTGTTCAAAAACTTAAAATTTCATAGCCTCCTGTACGAAATTGTACGCCTGGTAATAACACGTAAACCAGGCGTCATGCTCTGCAAAAACCAGGCGGATTTTGACTCAATACCATATAAGTAAACCAGGCGTCAAATGAGACGGAAACCAGGCGTAAAAAGAGGCGTAATATGCAAATTTTACGCCTCTTCAATAGACCAGGCGTAAAGGATCGTAGTGTCCAGGCGTAAAAATGTCCAGGCGTAAAAAAGTCCAGGCGTACAATACACAATGATATATACAAAATACATTACATGTTTTGAAAACTGTATTTATTTTATCAAAACATCCATATCTTAGTATCAATTTAAATGACATTCAAAGGCAGTTTTTCTTAACATTTTGATGGACAACAAAAATTACAAAATGTCATTCAAATAAACTTTACATTAATAAATCTTCCCATTTAAGGAAAATTCAAAATTTGTATTATACAAAAATATATAAATTATCTTGAAAATACAGTGTACCAATCTCTGATGACTTTGTATTACAGCAGAGATGCTTATAATGAATTCATGGTTATAGTGATTTTCATTTCCTTAAGTTTTAGAATATTGCTGTGAACTTAACGGATATAATGAACTACGTCTAATTAAAATTGTTCATTCATTGTACTTCGCAATAAGTGTGTTTTACATTAGCTTATCTTGTATCGTGCACTGAGCTCTTCTTAGCATTCTCATATTTTTCTTTCCTCTGTTCCTTTTTACATTTTTGTCCTGCAATGAGACTTGCTCTGTGATGGCATTGTTCAGTTCTTGGTTCACTTTTTCTTTTCATTTTCTCCACACCACTCAAGGGCATAACCTGAAGGAAAATTGTAGCCATGCTTTAATGTAGGTCTGAAATCACATTATGTCCAACAAGATCAGTATTTACAATTAGAGAAAAAAAAATTGTTGTATTACATAATGGGTTGACAGGAAAACAAACAGACAGACCAAACACTATATATCCCCAATCCTTCAATTGGGGGCATGAAAATCTTACCCCTTCAGATATTCCAGGGGGTGAAATATCCTGGTCATTCTCCCTTGGTTTTTCTGAAGAAGGAGGATCTGGACACAGGAAGCCTGCTTCTTGATTATCTGGATGATAGGAATAGAAATATATTAAAGCCGTGCATATAGTTAAATATATCAAATATTGAATGTGTATTTTACTATTACACAAATACTTTATTTAGGTTTTTATTTTTTTATTATTATCTAACCTCAACACAATCCTCCATGGGATGAAATGCTAATATCTACTACTACTACCAATGAAAGGATGTTGGTAGTAGAGTGTTTTCTCAAAGGAGGAGTTTTGTGACTTGGTATCTTCTTTTCCTTGGGACTTAGCTCCTGTTTCTTCTCTCTTGTATCCTCAGTGTTTTTCTTCTTCTTATTTGGGATAAACTCTTCATCGTGTTCCTTAATTTCTTTTATTTTGTCTGTTGGAGCCCTTGTTCTCTTCCCATTTGCTTTCTCTGTGTTTAGATTGAGAAAGTAAACAGTCTCTCTGGAATATGTTGGCTTTCTCCTGCAAGTTTCCTAATAATTTGCTGCATGCCGAATAGCAAACTTTGTTAGTTCCTCTTCATCATCTACAAATACACACACATATAACAAAATTATCACCAAGAAATGTGATCTTTGTGTAGCATATCTGAGCTTGAACCCCCCCCCCCCATTTAAGAAACACAAAACAGACCCCTTGTAAGTCAGTAGGAAGGAACGAATACAAGAAAGTTAATGAAAGAATATATATATATATATATATATATATATATATATATATATATATATATATATATTAAACAAATATAAAAAGAAAACACAAGAATCCTCCGTATATATATATATATATATATATATATATATATATATATATATATATATATATATATATATATATATATATATATATATATTGATTGGGTATGAAATGAAAAGTTTCCTATCCACCTATGCATTGTAGCAACCCATTAAACATCACCTTAACCATGTAAACATGATCAGCTTATCAGAAAGTGCACTCTATTTGTTATCAGGACAGCTTTTTATTAAAATTACTGTAATTATTTTGTCTAGTAAAATTTTTAAGACAGCCACCGCGCCGTGTGGCAAATCCATCATACCATGTTGTGATCCATGCGACTTTATATTTCCCTCATCTTGAACCCGACTCGTATATTTTTTGTTTTTGTATATATTTTTTTCGAAATGTTAAATACTAAAAATGATAATTATGCAATAGAAAGATAATTTAAAAAAAATCATGGAGTATACAACAGCAGTAGTTTACAAATACGACAGGTCTCCATGCGTAAACAAACACGCATGCTACATGTAATCTAATCATTAACCATGTTAACAGAATGATTTTAAAAGCACATTTCTTAAATTTTTATAAATAATACTATATGGTATATTTCAAAGTGTTAACCTCGCTGGAGTATGAAAATCTAAAAAATTCTTACCATGAACATTGATGCTGGGGCCATGAATGATGGTATCTCACTTCGAATTCCGTCCTTATTGTCAACGTTTTGTCTTTTTCGCCCACAACAGTCAAACTGCAATCCTCATCGAAGTATTTTCACTTTCAAGTAAAACCAAGTTGTCAGAAACAAGTAGAAATCGGCAGGGCAATGTTTCTTTCAAAGCAACAGAATTTGAAATGACCATGCGGGCGGGATTTTGATCATTGTTGATAGCGTGGGATATCAAGTTTCTGCAGCCCAGGTTCGAAGATGCTCTACTGTTGAGGTTCACGACGGGATCGATACAAAAGCTATTACAAACTTTTCCCCAAAAACGTCTCTCAAAATAATAAAATGCGTTCTTTTAGTATTAATTCGTCGAATTTTTTTTAAAGATGCAAATCAATGTGTAGATCAATAAATTTCACTGAGATCATTTTGTAAGGCGATTCCCCTTGGCCTCTGAGAAAACACCTTAGTTTTCAGTTGTTCTCGACACATTGGAAAATCATGGAATAACCAAACAAAATAAAAGAAGGTTACTAACGGAAAGCGTTTGTAAAGTTTAGCAAATTTCAGCTCAAGTTAATTTATGGAACGATGGAGAATAAAAATATGAGATGTATTACAAGTTACAGAATTTGTGATCGAAATGTGTAAAATTTGCCGAGACATAAATAACAAGAACATGAATCTTTGATAGCGAGAAAACCGTAGAAGATTCTAGTAAACTGTTATCGGTAAGTATTTTACAGTTTTTTAAAACATTAAAAAAAAACAAAAAAAAAAAAAGATCGACTTACATATATCGGGATCGACAATCAATTTAATAGAATGTTACTTCCGTTTTACAGATTGCAGCCCGAATTATCTCGGAACTAAATCGACTCTGAAGTTAGAAGACGAAGACGCAGAAATAATCATCATGAGCGAGGTAGGTCACCTTAAATAACATTGTTTTGTTTTGTTTGTATCGCTTTACCATTAGCTTACAAATTATTTACTTCTTGCAAGTTGCAGGGACGTATATAGATCCCTGCTACTTGATGATCATACAGTACATGTATGTAAAGCAAGAGAAAAAAAAAATACGAATGAGTTCTCATCGATTTTTTTTCTCAATATGTTTCAAGAAAATTAATTATTTTTTGTACATATCGATTAGCTTGTAACAATACGACCTCCACACCAATTACTGGTTTTTAAAAATATATATATTTTAGTCGATTAAATTAATGTTCACTTGCATGCATTTGATTAATTGGATAATAGTGGTGTTTTATTCTTGAATTAGATGTCTGACCATGAAGAGTCTGAGCTGGACGATTTGATGAGTAACATGACAACATTTAAGAAACAAAGAACCCCAACTGCCAAAAAGATACATAAAATTTAGTGATGAGGATTTTTCTGATAATGAAGAGGAAGTATTCTCTTTTCTGATTTATCTGATGAAGAAGAATACATTTTGGATGATATCACTGAAGAAATTGCAATGTTACGGAGCATGATGATCAAGACTTCCAACTTCATTCTTTGCTGTGTAACATTCGTATTTCAATAAGAGTATTCATGTTAGTGCTTGCTGTGATTTGCACCAATAATAGATGATGAATCCAACAACTTTTGAACAAAATTTCAGATGTGATGCTAGCAGAACACATTTTATATGCCATTTGACATATATGCATTTAACAGTTGTCCAAAAACAAAACAAAACTAAGGAACCTTTGTGACAGTGTTTACCACTTTTATTGTCATCGTTGTTTGGGGGCCATACAAAATGTTGATTGTGTCATCTGTCTAAAGGAATTTTGTCAAACACCATTCAAGAAACCAAAAACTTCTTTCTGGAAATACCTGTTATAAATCTACTCCACAATATTATTTTTCAAGATGGATTTTTTTAAAGCAAAATGCAAGAGTGGTTTAACAGAAATATAGCTGGTGGAACTTATAAGGACATCTGTGATGGGACTGTATTTTCAGCTAGAAATTATCTTAGCTCAACAATGATGTTGGGAAAGACAAACACAAATGCTGAAATATTTATCTTGAAGTTTTCTAATCTATAAAGTATTTCACTGTAAATATTGCCAGTGGATTTATTGTTAACAAAAAAAAGTGAAATATAATGTTTTGCCTACATTGTACCTTTTCTATTTTTTTCTAAGACCAACATTACACCTCACCAATTTTTCTAAGTCCAACATTACGCCTCACCAATTTTTCTAAGTCCAACATTACGCCTTACAAATTTTACTAAGTTCAGCATTACGCCTGGTTTTAAAAAGTTACGCCTGATACAAGAATTACGCCTGGCCCAAGAGGCGGAAAATGACACGTATTCCGTGTGTGCAAAGAGCAGGAATACGTGTCCTGCTCATGTACGCCTGGTAAAGACACGTAATTCTGAATTCCGTCTAGAAACCAGCTGGTTTCCATGTCTCATCCAGCTGGTTTACGCCTCACTTGTTCGTACGGGCTGGTTTCGTGGAGGTGACATCTTTTGAACATGCATAGGAATTTAAATTCACATGCAGCTGTAATCCACGACTTTTACTTTAATTTTCCCTGTTGATAAATGGTAAGAAAAGTATGGAATCTTATAAGGGCATTCATGCTAAGACCATCTTTGAATGACGATCTTTTAAAATTTAATACTTTAAATAATTATTTTCATCTGTAAAAGAAGCAGTGGTATTAAAAATTATTTTTATGATGTCTTTGAAAGAAATGATATAATAAAAATTAAAATAGAACCAATAATTTCATGAACGAGTTAGCAAGTGCTGAACGTATTCAATCTCACAATTCTAACACAGATAAGCTTCCATAAGAAATTCATATCGTAGAAATATTTCATCACTCTTTTTCAGCTTTTTGCAGTGATAAATGTTGTTGTTTTGAGCATACATACACTTAATAGACTATAAATATTTAGAGGATGTGAAAATATTCTTGCACTTAATCTTTTATCCAAAGCAAACACAAGAATAGAGTGTAAACGAGTGAAAATTCCCGTATACAGTAAAGTTTTTTAGTACTGAAAAGAGGAATAATCCCGTTTTATAGTAATACTTCCTCGAAAAAGGAACTGTGCCCATCCTGTTAAACTCGGACACTGCATCTATCATTTCTGTTTCCACTATTCTGTAATGACAAGGAATCTGACATTTTGACTGTACTTCCTATATAGCAGTACTCTGATGATGCTATTTTTGTCTGTTTAATTGTAGGATAGAGATCTGCCAACATATGATGTCAAGGTAAGTGAAAGTTACAATTAAGTCCTGTGTAAAATGAATTGAATGCACTATTATCGGTTCAGATTATGTAGTGCTATTAGCTTATGATATACATTTGGTTTTATTTCTTATATTTGTATCACATTTGTAATGGTTTAAGTTATGGATAATATGTTGACAGTGCGACCATTAGGGCGAGCGCAGATACCTTTTCCATGTTTTCAGTGTACTGTTTATAAACTGTATTTAGACCCGTCTCTTCAAACCGCACGTGACATTCGGTACGTCTAGACTCTGACGTCATATGACGTTGTATTTAGGTTGCATTACCAAACCAAAGCCTGGACAGTGCTAATTTTAATGAAGAAAGTTTTATTTACTATTTTATCTGCAATATTCCATTAAATCAAGGCAAGTTTATTTTTTGTTGAACTTTTGTTGTTATTTTTGCAAGAATGTACTTTAAAAAGCCATGCATTGTAGGTCCAGAGTTACTGTGGAAAAAAATTCGTTTGGATCAATGTGCATTGTCCGAATTTTCTCTTCGGCAAGGCATTGCTTTAAGAGCTCGCAGTGATGAGTGGCGCAATTAACCTGGGTAGCTCAGTGGTTAGAGCACCTGACTAGTGCTGCAGGGGTTTCGGGCTTGATTCCAGGTCCAGCCTTTTTCACCTTTCCTGCTACACATTCTTACCCACTATTATTGCTCTGTGCCAGTCCCTGGTTTAGGCATATAATTAAAGAATGGAAGTGAAACCTTGCACCTGAGACTCCGACAGTGCATGTGTTCATTAATTCTATTCTCTTAAAATCTGTTGAAAAGAGAAAAGTCTATGTATGAGATTTTAATAAAGTGTTATAAGAATGTCATGCCATTCTTCTTTCAGCAAATGGTGAAGAAGGTATTGACAGTATGGAAAGACTTAGAAGACACACTTTTTGTCATTGAGCCAGAGATTTTGTACAAGATTTTGGAACAGGAGAATTACTCTGATAATGAAGGCAGATGTGCTGTCTTTTGCCATATTACCAGAAAGGCCGTCACCTTTGGTGTATTTGGACACAGAGTTGCCATTGTATGTTTATTTTGAACCCTTTTACAGATAAATTTCTTGGAGGACCAGGGGTCTAGATTTACACTTTTCCATTGCCAAGGGCAAGTGGAAAGTTGTTGTGGGAAAGTAAGTTTAGGTGTGCCAAACTAACCCAACCATGAATGTTATAAATGAACTCTACAAACAAATCTTTAACATATTTTAAAATATCTAACTTGAAACAAACCTTGAAAAAAAATTCCCAAAAGGTTTATTTTAACTACCTCAGCAGGTTGATTGTCCTAATAAAGAATCGTTAATCACTACCATTTCATAACCAGAAATAAGATTGTAAAATATACAGTAGAATTTATTTAACACTAACTCTGATATAGCAAATTTATGGATAAAGCAAAGTTTTTTTTGTCCCTGGTGAAATATTCTGAACAATTTACGGATATAGGGAACTGATTTTATGTCCCATAGAGGTTAAAAATATTAACAAAATTTACATCTTTAACAGCGAATTTTAAGATCTCAGAATTTCAGATACTGAACTAATATAATTTTTTTTCGCAAGTACATATATTTGAAATTCAATTTTTGTACCTCAAGGTAATTTTTGTATTCAATACTTCTCTGAACATACTGTAAACCAACTTTTATTTGCATGCGAGAAATATCCACGAGTTTCGTGACCTACTTTAACTCGCGAATTTTAATCACCGCGAACCACTTATTTTGCTTTGTATTTGTAGAGAATGTTTCCCCAATCGTGAAAATTAATTGTCGCGGATTGATTTCAAACTGACGAATTGCGAATAAAAGATGTCGCGAATAATAGTTGGTTTGCAGTATTTGATAGTGATACTTGAAGGAAAACATATATTACGAATTAATTACATGTATTTAGCAAATTCATTATACATACATATCGAATTACAGACATAGCAAGATAAATTCACAGGTCTCCATGACTTTGCTAAAATCAAGATTTACTGTTAAGACAAAACTAATGCAGTCAAAATTCATAATTCTGGATTCTCAACTAATGTGATAAACTATCTCAGCAAAAATATACCTGCATGTACATGTCTAAAAAATCTCATTCACTGTTTAATGGAAACAAAAATTTATTTTTTTTTTTGTGTTTAAATATTGCTTAGAATCACTAGGAAAACAATTTTGTTTCATAATTAAATTAGCAATAAATCATACTAATAAAGACAATTGAATAAATCATAAGAATATTGATTGCTTGGGCAAGTTGGACAAGTGAAATTTCAGACATCGCTTTCCCATGGCTTTTATCAAAAGATTCTAGACCCCTGAGGACATTTTAAACTAAGATATGTTTAATATAAGATTTTCATTGGAAAAAGTAACATCATTAAGGCTTTTGAAATAAATCCAAGCTGATTTCTGTAATCTTGGTTCTGAAATTTATATTTTAATTTTTAAAGGAGTATGAAATGTCTAAGTTGTACAGTGCACTGTTTTGATATTTACTGCCATTAAGTGTTATCACCTATTCAATAGAATCCTAATCTTCACATTTGAAATTTTAGCCTATGGTTCTGTCAAAGTTCCGTCGGAGTGGATTTGCTGCAGTGGATGCCAAGGAAGACAATCCTGACTCCCACCTAAAAAATCCTGGATCCTCTCCACATCAGATCATCACTCATATCTTTCTACAGGACATGGAGCAGCCGGAGCTGACAATACATGTGGTAGTGTTCTACCCTCGCTCTGGATTCCTGTGGACCAGTCAGATTCAGATGCCGACCTCTGACCTCAGCTTTGGAGCCACAGCAGGGGCATTTGATATGTAAAGAATAAGTATTAAAGATGGTCAATCAGTAAAATTAAATGAAAATTTAATTATTGAATAACTTCCAATTCAATTATTCTCCTAAATACTTACACTTCTAAATTCACTTATTCTTTTAAATACTTTTGAATACTAAAATACATACTGTTGAACTTCTTATCTTGAACACCGATATCTTGAATACCAGGGATATGTCAAAGTGATCTGGAAGTCCCAACCACTTTTTCTTTGTTTCTTAACCTTCTTATCTTGAATTCTCTGATATCTTGAAGTTCAATCTCAGTATTGTCGAGATCAAGACAATGAGGTTTGACTATATTTAAGTGTGACTAATAAAATGCACATGACAATCAGGGTTCATACAGACCAGGAAAAGTGTTGAAGTTTGACCCAGTCCTTGAAAAGTCTTTGAAATTTTTTTCTGTGGTGCTTGAATTCTGATCTTGAGCTGCTATACATATAAGCAAAGATTCAAAAAAAGAAAAAAATGTTTTGATGTAACTTTTTATAGCTATGCCAATTAGAGAATGTTAAAAACATAAATGAAAGGTTAAATGAGCTAAAGAGATATTAAAAAAAATCAATATTGTGTCAGTTTTTTATTTGCATGGTTGTATGGTCCAAAAGTGCTTGAAAATGGTCTTAAAAGTGCTGGAAAAGTGCTTAAAAAATAATATTGCTGGAATGTACAAACCCTGGCAATATATTAGGAGGCAGATTTCCTAATGTAAAAGGTGAAGTCAAGATAAGGAACACTGGTTAACCAGCAATAGTAAAAGATCTAGTAAATATAGAAATGTGGAATGAAATTTGTATACTGGTGTAAAGATTCTAGCAACTCTTCATGTAGAATTTATTATGGGAATGATGAGGAAAGGAAATCAAATTTTTATACCCTCTTAGAAGAAGGGACGGCATATTGCTTTGCTGCTATCTGTCGGTCGGTCTCTCTGTCTGTCTGTCGGTCCACCAACAGTTTCTGTTCATTTTCTTCGCAAAGGTTGCACTTACTGAAATGAAATTTGGTATAAGTGTTTCACAAACATCTTTTGTTTTTTTTAGATTTGAGACACGTAGCATAACTATTGATGGTTTACTGATCAGTGTTCCCAAATCAATCCGACATTTTCTTCATATGAAGCAAAATTCACATTTCCTGGAGTGTAACAATGACAGAGCAAAGATGTTCTACACCCAGTATCCCAAAGATGAAACAGAAGAAGCACAGAGATTTCAGAGGAAGGCCAGACAACTCCTGGTTAAAGGGAAGGAGGTTCTGGATAATTTAGGGGTTCGCTTCTGGCTCAGTAGTGGCACCTGTTTAGGTAAGGATAGAATTGTCTCAGCAACTCTCAATGTGCTTGTTACGTTATAATTGTCTGTATGTCTCTCAGTGATGACACCTCTTAAGGTGCCTATTAGATGATAATTGTCAGTGTGTTTCTCAGTGGTGGCACCTCTCAAGGTACCTGTTAAAGTATAATTATTTGTTTTCTCTCAGCGGTAGCACCTCTCAAGGTGCCTGTAAGGGTATCATTGTCAAGGTACCTGTTAGGTTATAATTGTCTCTGTGCTTTTCCTCTGTGTCAGTCAGTGATGAGACCTTTCAGTTGCCTGTAAGATTATAATTGTCTGTGTGTCTGTCAGTGATGACACCTTTCAGGAGCCTGTAAGATTATAATTGTCTGTGTGTCTGTCAGTGATGACACCTTTCAGTTGCCTGTAAGATTATAATTGTCTGTGTGTCTGTCAGTGATGACACCTTTCAGGAGCCTGTAAGATTATAATTGTCTGTCAGTAATGACACATTTTAGGTGCTGTAAATTGATTGTCTCTGTGTCTTCAGTAATGACACATTTCAGACTCGGTGAGAGATTTGTGGTTAGATTTTTTTTGCTAAATTGAGTTTTTGTATGTCAATACGTTTATACATGTTCAATGTTTGTTATTTTTGTCTCAGTTTCCTGATTTAGAGAAGTTCTAGGTTATCAACCGATCAAATAATTTGTTAACATTTCTGTGTATACTATCAGTGCATCTGAGTAAATGTATCATCTTATGAATAATTTAAGGCTGGTTTCGACAGTGTGACATCATCTCGTATTCAAAAGATGTAGACTTTGGGATTTGGATTAAAGATCACAAACCAGAAATCATTGATGCCATGGAGAGGGCTGGACTTCCCCTCAAGCATGTGTTTGGCAAAGTAAGATTTTACCACATTTACACCGGAAACTGTGCATTGATTTCCAACACACAATTTTCCTAAGATGTAGGATAAACAGACAGAAGATTTTTAACTGAAAAAGCTTTTCCAAAGGTCCAATAAAGTGTGGTTAAAAAAAATTTGCAACACATAAAGAATATTATGTAGCAATTGCATCATTTTATATTTCATTTTAAATGTAAGTCAGCATGATCATATATACTCTATATGTTATGTATTAAGCAAGTACTATATTTGGCATAAATTGATTTTCAAAAAAGTTACCTTAGATTTAATTTAGTGCTTTTCTGAATGCATATGGTATATAATGTTACATGACCATGTCTATCATGAATTTCTTTCATCATAAAAAATTTCTATCATAAAAATCTTTTGCAGGTATCAGACAGTTATGAGTTGTCTTTATCTTTTACAGGTATCAGACAGTTATAAGTTGTGTATATCTTTTACAGGTGTCAGACAGTTACAAGTTGTCTATATCTTTTACAGTTGTCAGACAGTTACGAGTTGTGTGTATCTTTACAGGTGCCAGACAGTTACGAGTTGTCTGTATCTTTACAGGTGCCAGACAGTTACGAGTTGTCTGTATCTTTACAGGTGTCAGACAGTTACGAGTTGTGTGTATCTTTACAGGTGTCAGACAGTTACGAGTTGTCTGTATCTTTACAGGTGCCAGACAGTTATGAGTTGTCTGTATCTTTACAGGTGTCAGACAGTTACGAGTTGTGTGTATCTTTTCAGGTGTCAGACAGTTACGAGTTGTGTGTATCTTTACAGGTGTCAGACAGTTACGAGTTGTCTGTATCTTTTACAGATGTCACACGGTATAAGTTGTCTATATCTTTTACAGGTGTCAGACAGTTATGAGTTGTCTGTATCTTTACAGGTGTCAGACAGTTACGAGTTGTCTGTATCTTTTACAGGTATCAGACAGTTACGAGTTGTCTATATCTTTACAGGTGTTAGACAGTTACGAGTTGTCTGTATCTTTTACAGGTGTAAGACAGTTACAAGTTGTCTATATCTTTTACAGGTGTCAGACAGTAATGAGTTGTCTATATCTTTTACAGGTGTCAGACAGTTACGAGTTGTCTATATCTTTTATAGGTGTCAGACAGTTACAAGTTGTCTATATCTTTTACAGGTGTCAGACAGTTATGAGTTGTCTATATCTTTTATAGGTGTCAGACAGTTACAAGTTGTCTATATCTTTTACAGGTGTCAGACAGTTACAAGTTGTCTATATCTTTTACAGGTGTCAGACAGTTATGAGTTGTCTATATCTTTTATAGGTGTCAGACAGTTACAAGTTGTCTATATCTTTTACAGGTGTCAGACAGTTACAAGTTGTCTATATCTTTTACAGGTGTCAGACAGATACGAGTCGTGTATATCTTTTACAGGTGTCAGACAGTTACAAGTTGTCTATATCTTTTACAGATGTCAGACAGTTATGAGTTGTCTATATCTTTTACAGGTGTCAGACAGTTATGAGTTGTCCTTCAAGGCTGGAGAAGTCAAACTGGACATTTTTTTCTTCTATGAAGAGGGAGACACAATGTGGAATGGGGGAACCGATGCCAGCTCAGGGGAAAAACTCAAGTAAGAGTAAAGGAAAGAACTCAAGTAAATTTTTTGGGAATTCTCAAGTCTCAGTGGAGAAACTTAAATAAGTCTTAAAAAGAAAACTCAAGGTAGTCTTGGGGGAAAAAGCTCAAGTAAGTGTTAGGGAGAAACTCTATTAAGTATTAGGAGGAAAACTCTTGTCTGTAGGGAAAAGCTGAAGTAAGTGTTAGGGAGAAACTCTATTAAGTATTAGGAGGAAAACTCTTGTCTGTAGGGAAAAGCTGAAGTAGGTCTGGAGCAGCTCTGGGAAAAAGCTCAAGTAAACCTCATGCAGTTTGCAAATTCAAGTAGTGAACCAACCATTTCCAAGTTCGTTTTAGGGGGAAATTTAGAGTACAACACAGGGGAAAAATGAAGTGAGTTTCATGGGAAAAATTTCAAGGAAATCTCTGGGAAAATACCTAAGTCAGTTATGGAAGGGGGGCTTTTGCTAGACTTCGGGAATTCAAACACTGAAACAAGTTTATTTTTTTTTAAAGATTAAATTAAATCAGTCAAAAATACACAGTCAGCATCAAAGTGTAGATCTCTACTGGGGCTGACAGATTCAGTGAACTATGGAGGAGGCCTCAGTGATATGTAAGTAGTAGTGCTGGTGGTGGGGGAGGGGGGATGGGGAGGCTTCAGTAGTGATGGTCGTGGTGGGGGAGGGGGATCAATAGACTCAGTGATTGATTTAAAGTTAATGATGTACCTGTTTTCTTTTCCCCCCAGATATGTCTTTCCAAAGTTTGACCTGTGCTGGACACTACTTCTGGATATTAGAGTGCGCGTTCCATGTCCAACACAACCCTACATTGAGGCAAACTATGGAAAACAGTGGGACATTCCTGTAAAATCCTGGGACTGGAAAAGCAATGCATTTAATGTCCGACCAAATGGAGTGTGGCCAAAATCAGAATGGAAGGAAGTCATTCAAGTGTACTGATGAGAAGACATTCATCTCAAATGATGAATAATTAATATGAAAAAATAAGAGAGCAAATGTACCGGTAGTTAAAGGCATTTATATAAGAAAGATGTAAAACGAATATGCAGAAATGAGTAAATTAAACAGAAAAATAAGTGAGAGTAAACAAAACATTCCTTTATAGTATATAAGAGTCTGTATTTGAAAGTGTGAAGATGATGTGCATGTGAATTATGAATTGTGTTTGAAATTTAAATGTGGTGATATGGTATACTAAATTGTGAAATGAAATATTTATCAGTGAATGTTGAAAGATGGTGCTTATGTGAAAATCAGATTAGTTGTCTTTGTGAATCTCCTTCTTATGGTTTTTTTTTATTTACGTAGAATATATGACCACAGACATGTAGATGAATGTTATTGTATATTCAGAGAGGAATATGTAATCAAATTTAGATGTAGTTTCATTCTTTGCAAATGATGTTGATGTCACATTATGATAATTGTAATTAAGCATTGAATTCTTATTTTTGTATGTTGTGAGTCATGTAACAGCACCTGGCCGTGCTGACAAATTGTGTGTTAGCACAGTATGATAATTTGTCGGCATGGTTAGGTGTTGTTTTATGACTGACAATATCCAAAAATGAGAATCCAGTGCCTATATTTACATTCTCTACTTTTCACCCTTCGTAAGTGTCAATTTCATTCATCTTTCTTCTAACTTTAGCGCCTTTCAGAACTGTTCTGGTAAATAGATGTAAGAGCCCATTTTGACTTGGAAAGTAAAAAAAACACATATGAATATTGTGAGGGGAAAAAAATTACAAATTAATTTTTAATGTACAATTTTTATATTTTTACATCAATTTAATGGGGTAATTGCTTTTAATTAAATTGAGCCAAAGCAATATACGGTGTCCCTAGTGTTCTGAAAGTGTATGTAGTTCCTATCGTGTATCCTATCGCGCTGTGACAAGATTTTGTGTTTGTGTTATAGGGGCTTGATGCAGATTTCCAATGGATGACATAAAGAAAATGACACTGAATGTAAATATAATGTATTTAACAGACTGTTGTGCTTATTTCTGTAAATACATATACCAGTGTATCATGTGCACGTGGATAGGATTTAAGTGTTTGAAAATATGTGATAATTACAGTGTATATACTTATTTAGATTTTCTAAGAAAACAATAGTGGTGCTGTTATACAGTATTTCATTTTTTACATTATTGATAACTGAAAATGTCATGTATTGATCTTGAGAAATAAGATTTATATTGTCTGTCAACATGTTAACATTGTCCATAACATCGAAGCTTTATACAAAATCTTTGTTTAACTGAAGATGTCCTGAACAAAAGTTTCAAGTGTTTTGGATCTAAGATTTATATATGTATATTTGGGGGGGGGGGGGGGGATTTTTGTCTGTATTTCTGGATGTCAACAACAATAACATTACCCCCTAATAAATAAGCTTTACAAAAGACCTTACCTTCTCATAAGTTAATGTTAAAGGTCAAGGTAAGGAATTATTGCTAGAGCAAGGACATATTGTTAGTGTTTCTATTTTAGCCTATTCAAAATTTAGTGTTTATGTAGGTCATAGACTATTACATAACCAGTACTGTCTGAGCATCATTTGTACTGCATGTATCACATATTGTAACCATTGCATTCACCATTATCTATAGTACTTGTATATTTTGACTTGTGCTAACAGTATATCAGTTCAAAGGATGTTAGCAATATTAAGACTGGATATAGTAAAATGGCTTTTTCACAGACTGTGCTTATTTAAAAGCACTGTATTACTGTTTCATTTAATCATCAAGTCAAATTAGTTAAGTTTTTTCTACACTCTTCACAACCCATGCTGAAATGGCTTAAGGAATATGTGTAATTTCACTGCAGATGTCTTGTGTAAGTTCTACTGTTAGATTAAGGATGTTTTCATTTAAATGAACTTAAATTATATAGATAACACCAAATGAATCAATAAAGTTACATTAGTGTGGGGCTATACAATACTGGTATATCCTATATGCAAGAAATCTCTCATCAATATTTGAGCCAATTGAAAATGTTTCATCTGAAATACTGACTGGAAGTATTCTGTTAAAACCATACATTTAAAATATAAACTCCATTTTGTTTCTCAGCAGAAGATTCAGATACTATTCTCAGTGGGTTGTTTCTATATTCTCATTGTAGTCTTCAAAAGTCCTGAAAAATTTCTTTTTTCTAACCACTCTGTTCCCCTGAAGTAGAAACAATTCTGTCCAGTATAGTGAAATTATATCAAAAATGCAAAGTTGAAGGTCAATTTTACATCAATTGTCTTATTTACCTGTAAGATTATTATGCATTTAAGGCTGTGAAGTGATTGTGCAATATGATCTTATGAGCAATATTATAGTGTATTAATTTCTGACTTAATTAGAAACAATTCTACCTCTATTCTGTATTGTACTGTTCATTCAATCTGACTTGGTTGTGAATTTATTTTTCTATGCTTTTTTTTTTGAAAGAAAAAAGTCTGCTTTGGTTGTTCTGTGAAATAAATAATAAAAAAAATTACATGCAATCTATATGATCCGATTTCTTGTTCATGTTATGACAGAAACACAATGAATTTGCAGGATATATTCAAATGCTTAATAAGCAAAATAAATCTCATCAATTGCTTTTGAAGTTTGGAACATTGTTTCTTCCAAATTATCCCATATCTTGATATGACAGATACAGTTGGGGTGTGTGGTTCTGCTCTTTTGGATATGTTTTTAAAAGGGAGAGGATTGGCTAAGTATTTGTTACATTTCTTTTTCTATTGCCCAAGTATAAGTCAAATGTTACATATCCCCAGTAGGATGGAGACATTCCGCTATTTGCTATGATCGTCTGTCAAAAATTGTGTCCGTATATATATATATATATATATATATATATATATATATATATATATATATATATATATATATATATATATATATATATATATATATATATCATTTGAACTCTTAATGGAATAAAGGCAGACCTTTGTATGCTACTTGGTATGAACTCCAGGTCTGTCTGCTGGGGAATATCATTGAAACTATTGACTGGAAGTCAAACTTTTCTATGCCTTTGTCTATGAACTATAGGTAAATCATGATCTTGACCTAAAGTCACATCTCAAAGTTCAAGGTCGGTGGGTAATGAGACGTTTGAAATAGGGTATACATGTATATAGGTAATTATTGCAATTAATCCAATAGTGGATATGCTTGAAAAGTGCATCCTTACCCGAATCCATATCTCAAACATAAAGGTTACCATTGGCAAGCAATTGTCTAGGCAATAGCTAGTTTTCAAATCTTAATATTTTGAAATACGTTGTCCCTTTGATATGTGTTTAACCATTACACAAGAATTCAAGGATATATCATCAAGGCCATAGTTATGTTGGGGAAGGTGGAGGAGTACATTTGTTTTACCCCTCCCCTCCTCCCCCCCCCCAAAAAAAAAATAATCCAAGAATAAAATGTACAGTAAAACAAAATTATACTTTGTACTGAAATATGAAGAGAACGAACAGTAGTCAAGCTCAAAAGTCCATTGGAACAATACAAATAAATTAGGGGCAGAGTAAACAAGGACCTCTAAAATCATCAGAGGTGGGATCAAGTGCTATGTCGACCAGTCACACCCGCTGTATGCTCCTTGTCATGATCGGGCAAATAAAAAAATCTGTAGACAATTCAGTGTGAAAATAATGGCCTAACAATTTGTACGAAAAACGTCAGTTAACACTTAACAAAAGATTGTATTTGCTAACAAGATCAATGCATCGACCACAGAATTTGCGAAATTTTGACTTTAAACGAAACTGATGATGCCCTTGTATTGTTAACTTATTTGTCAATAGCTTGCTTCGTTTTAGATATTGTTCGTACGTAGAACATACTCTTGCGTATCAAATCAACTGGGACTCATAAACTCCATATACATATACTACATAAACAAGAGAAGTTGACGATAGAAAAGTTGAAGTCATCACGTTTATCGTAAAGTTTTATTGTGAGTTTGGCATTAATGTCTCTTTCTAGTAAAATATCCAAATATGAAACAGATGTGTCAGACTCTGTGGTGTCTTTTATTTAGAGTTCAAACGTCGTCAATATATCTAAATATAATGCTTTCATGTAAATTACGTGAATTTGATTCGTTGAGAAACATTTGTTAAAAAACACTGTTACTCTCTGAATGATGAAACCACGCCCTACAGCGCGACAGTCAACATTGCTTGACGACGGGTGGTATTCCCAAAGAATATTGAATGCGTGGAATCTATGCACGCGTGCTTCACCTTTATTAGTATTTGTATAAACATTCAATATAATATAAATACAGCATGTAGTTGAGGGTAATATTGAAAATTTTCACCCGAGGCGCAGCGGAGGTTGACAATGGTTTTCTTGGGGTGAAAATTTTAAACGTGTTTCATTTTAAAACTTCAAGGTCAAGTCTAGTCAATTATAAATGTAGGATAATTAATTTACCAAATTCAAGGCGTGGTAAGATAAACTTTGACAAATGTACTACAAAAATCTCCCAATTATTTGTCAAACACCAAATTAAAAGTATACTAAAGAGATTAGAAAATCTAAGCCTTTTGTCACCGTGTAAAATATGAGTTTTTGGACTTAACATAAATTCTGTGTACATTAACTTTTCGGACTAAATGTGTTAATTGCTATAAAAACTTTTCGTATATTTCTGCAAATGTGATAAATTTTATAAATTATACACAGCCTTAATCCCACCCGAGGCACAGTCAGAGATGGACAGTTAATAACAATGCACAAGAAATTGCTAATATTGTTGATGAACATCTTACAGCAATTTCAAGTAAAATTTTGTTGACAATGGCAAAACGTATTATAGATCAGCCATCGAGGACAGGTCAACTTCAGAGCACCGTGGGAATATCTAAATCACTTGGTATCTAAGTCTAAAAATTATGATTCTACCCATATTATAAGGAATGAGTCAGGAAATAACAATGCACAAGAAATTGCTAATATTTTTGATGAACACTTTACAGCAATTTTAAGTAAAATTTTATGTATTCTACCAAACTACAGCTTTGATCCAGATTCCACTCTGCATGTTTATGCCAGCAATACAGCGTGCATTGAGGCAGCTCTAAATTCTGATTTATTGATTATCTTCTCTGGGTATTAAACAAACAAACTAAGTACATATATAGTTATCATGAGCAAGGCTGCCTCTTCCAAAATTGTGAATTTCATGGCCCCAGGGTCGGGGGTTCTGGTGAAAGGGGTGGGGCTATATTTATAACTGTTAACCAACTTTTACTTGCGTGCAAAAAATATTCGCGAGTTTCGCGACCTACTTTAACTCGCGAATATTGATCACCGCGAACCATTTATTTTGCATTGTATTTGTAGAGAATGTTTCCTCAGTCGCGAACATTAATCATCGCGGATTGATTTCAAACCGACGAATCGCGAATAAAAGTTGGTTTACAGTATGTAATGTAAAAGCATAATTTCTTTGAAAATATTCTTTTTTTCTCCTGGCTATAAAGCAAAGAAATTAAGTGTATAGTTATGATGAGCAAGAACGTTTCTTGCAGAATTGTGAGTTTCATGACCCCTGGGTCAGATGTTCTGGTGTTAAAGTAGGGCTCTATTAATAATATAGTGAAAATTAATTGTAGTAAATAACCCTGTCTGCTCCTTTGTATTGAGCAGATAAACAAAGTGCATAGTTATGATATGAACAAGGGTGCTTCTTACAAAATTTTTAAAACTTGTGGTCCCAGGGTCAGGGGTTTTGGGGGGGGGGGTGGTCTATTAATATTTGATATATATAGTGAAAATGTGTTAATTCTTTGAAAATCTTCAACTAAGTGCATAGTCATGATGATGAGCTTACCTCTTCCAAATCTGTGAATTTCATGACCCTGGGTCATGGGTTCTGGTATTAGGGTAGGGCTATGTTGAATTTATAGTAAAAATATGGAAAGCCAACGGGTTCAAAATTCAATCTCTGTAATTCATAAAATGTACACATTTAAACCTTAATTTGTAAATTGTAAATCATAATTTCATAATTTGCTAATTGTTCTATCACAATTTGTTAATTGTAACTTATCCAACATAACTTGAAAAGTGTAAAATGTAAATGCAAGTTATGTCAATGATCACGTGTAATTCGTAGACTTGCGATTTGTCAACTTGTGAAATGTAATTTGTACTTTCGCGATTTGTAAATTATGCAAGGTTGCATATTAAGACGAAAGAGGGCGCTATAAGGGTGGCAAGTTACTTCGCCTTAAAGCTAAAAAAGATCCTTAACTGAGTTTTGTAATATGCATCCATATTATGCCTTCAAACGGTCTCTTAAGCTGTTTACAAATAAAATAAGACCGCGGAACATTAACTGGCAAAATTGGAAATATGCAGCTTATGTCATTTCCATCTGTTACAGTCAAAATGATTAATGATATACAATGAAATGGGCTGGTACAATTCGATACGGACGTCCGAGAAAACATTGGATTGAAATTCTAGTTTGGAATTAATTTTCAATCCACCTCAGCTACTCGAGAACGCACGGTGTTGCTGATTGACTCAGAAGATAAATAATTTCAATTACGGAGATAGTTTGAAATTTATACAAATCAGAATTTTCTATCCAGTGTTTTAAATGAGAAATATAAATGGACAAATATTTGATTTCTGCTTGGTATGTGCTGGGGGGGGGGGGGGGGGTCTTGGAAATCAATAAGAAAGTTTTCTTTTAGTTTGGACAACCCCTCCCTGTTTTTGTTTGTCAAACATTTTTCAGTGAAGACAAAACTAAAAAAAGGTCTCGTCATCCTATAAATAAATATATGCTGTCATGTGAAGGCATGATCTGACTTCACAATATTTGAAAGCCCCCCCCCCCCTTTCTAGAATCAAATGGCCGTACGTCCCCTGAAAAAAAATAATCTCTGTCTTCTATTACTTTTAAGTGTCCTTAAAATTATAGGTTAAAAAACTCATATAAATATGAATTTCAAACAACAGGTATTTGGGAATTGAAATTATTTGTCATTTGGATCATACATTAACACTTTAGGTTTGAAAACAGCTCAGGTGGATTGATAATGAATTTCAAGCTAGAATTTCAATCCAACGTTTTCTCGGACATCCGTGTCGAATTGTACCCGCCAATTTCATTATCTATCAATCGGCAATCCTTGGCTGACTCCGCTACGCTCCATACACACTTAGTGTGCGAGGTACGAGCCAACCGAGGAGCTCCGAGTGATTGTCTATTAAATGTTTTGACTGAAACAGATGGAAATAACGTATGTTGCATATTTCGGTCTTAGGCCATTCCAAGTTGTTTCTCTGTTTAGGGTCCACCCATCTTTCAAAAACCTACCTACCTATTCGCATAGGGACTTGTCTTCCGGATTGTTATATGTAAAATAAATTTAATTTTTTTTAAAATCTACTTTAGATACACTTAAAAGTTGTTACAATAAAGATTCTGACACTTTCAATGTATATAGGTGTGGTACGTGTTTTTTAAACGTGGTTTTTCTTGTCTGAAAGTGCCAGAATCTTTATTGTAACAACTTTTAAGTGTATTTAAAGTAGATTAAAAAAAATTAAATTTATTTTACATTTAACAATCCGGAAGACAAGCCCCTATGCCTATTCGCAGAAAACACGTAAGGCAAACAATAAAACACAAATTTTACAGTAAAATAAAAATGACATCATTCAAAGAATTTGATTTCATGAATCTATTTTTCTCATAGAAATATCTTTTGTTTTTTAAAATCAAGGTATTAAATGCTTAAAATATACATAATATGACATACTTTAGAGAAATATTTAAAGAACTTGACAAATTTTCAAGATTTTGACCAAAATAATCAATTTTAGGACTCCTGATTTTGTTTGTTTGTTTTTTTTCGAAATGGGGTGCCAAAAACCAAGGCGGACGCTAAACATAGAACAAACTTGGAATGGGCTTAGGTTAATACAGAAAAAGAACGGGGTATTCCTGGATCTAAACACACAAAGCTTCGGTCTTTGTATATACAGAGGGCAGGCGCGGCTCTAGGAATTTTTTCCAACGGGGGCGGGGTCCACCTCAGTCAGAAAAATTCCAAACCAGAAGTTCTTTGACAAGCAAAAATAAAACTATTTCGTGTTGGTGGCTGTGATTTGTGTGTGTGTGTGGGGGGGGGGGGTGTCCAAAGTCATTTCTTATTTGCTTCAGTATAAATAGTATACATTTAATAACTCTGCACATTCCGGGGGGGGGGGGGAGGTCCGGACCCCCAAACCCTCCTCTAGATCCGCCGAGGTGCTGAGGGAATAGAATCCGAAAGCTTTTATCAGTTTATGAAGTAGCGTATAAAAACCAGGCACGTAGTATCGGAGGGGGACTTCCCCTTCCCGCTTTTTCCCGAACATAATGTTTAACTGTTAATTTAGTACCAAAACCCATCATAATTATGGATCGAAAATTGTTCTTGTGAAAAAGTTGGAACCATACCCCCCCCCCCCCCTCCGGATTTTTCAGATAAAAGTGTCAATTATTTTTATGGGTGCCCCTTTCAAAAACGATGCTGCATGCATGAAGACTAGATTTCTTCCCATGTTCTCTTTTTGTGTGATCGTTGGGCCCAAGGCAAGGAAGCCCTTTTTTCATTTTGTCTCTATAGGGATGCATGGAATAAACTATATGTACCGATGAAAAACAACAAAAATGCTTCATAAACTTCTGGGATGTGATTGGCTCTATAGAATCAACTGATTAATGTATACAAACTCAATGAGGGGTGCAAAGAGGAGGACCCCCTTCCTAGTCGTGTGTTAGTCTTAAATCTGACGAAATATCATAAAATGTATTAATGATTATTTATAAACACAAAAATGCTCATCAAAAAAGATAGAAAAAAAAACACTTAACACATGATCACTTGAAATTATAATATTTAATTTAAATTTTCCGTATATACAAACTAATGTGTACTTTACAAAGACATGTATGGGTCTGTAAATACATTTTCAAGTTCCAGGAAATTTTTCTAAATGAGGGGTAAGGTTCATAAGTCATCCAAACGCAAAATACCTATTTTTCGTGTGTGTGGGGGGGGGGGGGGGTAGGGACATTTCTCGTTGATAAGCTGTTTCAAATATTTATATGACACTTCTACTTATTTACGAGGGGCCCATAACTCCTGAAAAGGAGTCCAAGGTTATTTCTTGATTGTTTTACTGTATAAAATTCATAACTGAAAATCCGAGGGGGTCCAGACCTCTCCAACCCCCGACCCCCCCCCCCCTTCTCCTGCCGAATCTGCCAGTTTCACTGCAGAAAATGCTTTTAAAAATGTCAAAATCGAAAATTATATAAGATTGTTGGGAGTTTTTACTACAGTATAACCCTGCTAATATATTATTATTTACAAACAGTCTTTAGGACAGACATGAAATTAATTTATAAACTTTTCATCAGCCTTTCTTTATATTTTTTTATGATAGGACGAATTAGGGAAATGATTAAATTGTTAAGCAACGAATTAACTTGCCACCCTTATAGCACCCCCTTTCGTCTTAATAGGCGTTAGCATAATGCAATCTTGCATAATTTAAAAATCACGAAAGTACAATTTACACAAGTTGACAAATCGCAAGTCTACGAATTACACACGAGCATCGACAAAACCTGCATTTACATTTTACACTTGTCAAATTACGTTGGGTGAAATATATGGAGATAACGAACAGTTACAATTAACAAATTGTGATAGAACAATTGACAAATTATGAAATTATGATTTACAATTTACAAATTCAGGTTTACGTGTGTACATTTTAAGAATTACATAGATGGAATTTTGAACCCGTTGGCTTTCCATATCAAAATGCATTGTTTCTGTGAAATTCTTCTCTGCTCCTGTTCATATCGGAGGCAAACAGAGTAAGACTTTTAATAAACAAGGGTATTTTTACCAGATTTTTGAACATCTGGACCATTTGGGCAAGTGTTTTGGTCCTGGGCAGGGCTTTATTAATTATTTATTCCACTGAGAGAAGTTATTCCCCTTTGCCTTTCACTCACTGTAAATAAAGTATTTGAAAGGTTAATAGAATAAGAAAATTTTGCAAGATTTTTTTATTGGACAATACAAAAAGTACTTTCTTAGTTTTAATGATCAAGTAGACTTGTACTTAATAGGTTAATAAAAATGAGACAAAAATAACTTATCTTATTAAATGTTCTTCAAAGACCAAGAGAGGCCAATATGATAGGTTATTATATAGGGTTAAAAAATAGTACAGAAGCACAAATAGTTTGTTAATATAGTCTGCATGATGATAGTGATAAATGGGATACAGATTATTATAACTTAATATATGAGTTGTTACTGAATACTAGACTAATTATTTCGTTGATCCTGATCATCCTATTTCGCTTGCTTTTGGCAACAAAGCTTCATCTATCAGTTTATTTTATACTCTATGGATTCTCTAAATTGTTGTATTATACTCATGTGACCGTTAAGACCCTTGGGCCTCTTGGTTTTAAATTAGACTTAGTGACTCAGTGCGATGACCCCTATAACAGTAAAATGTAGGGTTTCACTAATCATGGCAGTAAGAATCCTTGTTAACAAAGAACCAGACAATGTATTTGTAAATTACCTTATCAAATATATATTACAATCTGCATTCCCAATACCTAAAAGGGCGCCACATCACAGTGCTGAGGGGACTGATACACATGTTTAAACACCTGTGTTTTAACTTTACATGAAAATGTTTTATAATCCCTCATGAATATGCCATTCCATGTCTATAATTACATACATCGTATTTCTTTCACATTTCTATTATCCTCTGCTGATCATTGATGTACATGTATGCAAGGTAGGCATATTTATATAAAAACTGAAAGTACCTCATAAATTCCCCATGTCTAAAATTAGCTTTTAGAATTTTTACCTGGAAGATGGCTTCATTATCATCAGCTGCGTAAGTAAAGAAAATATATACTAATCCTTATATACTCTCCAACAATGAAATAATACATATATACTGAAAAGAGTTTCATAAAAAATACTAATGATTTCACCATGCAAGGTAATATTCTCACTTTTAAAAAACCTCAACATTAAAAAGGATATCCTTTGGTGCCTTGTTCAAACCCTATCGTGGGACATGGGAGACTCCATCCCCTAGCCTAGAGGTGAGGCAGTGTAGACTAACCCCCTATACATATGATGCACCCTAACATTACGATCCCTCTCTGTATTTAATTTTTTTTTTAGAAAATATTACTATAAATAAATCTAAAAATTAAAGTGGTTTCAACCCGGAAAAGCCATTCTGAAATCACTTATATAATTGAAGTTCTTCACTGTAGTTAATTAAAGTACAGTCAAACCTCAGTGCTCTGATTCTGAAAAAAGGAAACATGTAAGAGTTCCCCATATCAAAGTTGTATCTAAAGCTCGTATACACAGGGGCTTGGGACTGAGGATTCATTCTATCATATCCCTTTTTTGACAGTATCCAATGAGGTAGGTTAAAAGGTTTCTGCTCGTCATCATTACCTTTCAATATTTCTCAAAAGTCAGCAGTGTACTTTTACTAAAATATCTAAGATTTCACCATATCAATGTTGCAACTAGAGTTGATTGGGAGGGGGGCTGTAAGTTCAGTCGTCCCTAGTATGTGAAAATTTACAATTGGAGAGAACATAGTTAAACTAGTTATGTCTGCTCACCATCGTCAGCTCTCAATATTTTATTTCTTCTGTCAGATATGAGGGAGTTAAGCGCATGTCAGAATCTGTGTTTGTGGGATTTTGTCACAAAATAGGAACCTCAGAACTGGTGGCCATGAGGAGAGATATGACAGAAATCAGTGAGATGGTGAAAAGACAAGGGGAAGGCGGCAAGGAAATGATAAGCATGCTCAGTGGAAGTACTCGAGAAGGATTCAGACTAAAAGAATCAGATGTAGACCTCATGTTTTGGTTTAATGACCATCAAGTAATCTGGGACTTGTGTCGTACTCAATTTCACAATATAAATGGGAAAACACTGATTCTCTCTGATTGTTCTGAAAGTCCACCAGGATTTTCTCTACTTCAGATACTGACACCAACGAGGTACAGACAAATTTTGAATGCCTGTGTCAGGAGGAATGATAGAACTTTTATTTCTAGTTCAGCGTATAGACAGCAGACGTGTTCAAGAGAACCTAAAATTTCTACTCTCAATGGACCCTGTGGAAATGGAAATGTAATGGGAAAGGAATTTGATTTTGCTTATTGTCTTGCCTCTGACTTGTGGCCTCCATCTGCCTCCTCATGGATAGATAGATGTATTACGTGGCCTCCAACTCATGTTCTTAATGATATAGTGAACAATGGATGCCACTTGGTACCAATTGGACATCCACTGGGGCTCCATCAAAGTGAAGAATGGCGAATTTCTTTTTCTCTGGCAGAACTAAAACTGGTATGCGCAATGAACCACTGCCAGTTCTTGACTTATGGATTGTTAAAGGTGTTCTTGAAAGAGGCTATAAATCAATCAGAAGATACAGACAAATTACTTTGTTCCTATCACATGAAAACAACACTGTTTTGGGTGATTCAACGAAACATGATACCTTACTGGTGTCCACAGAATCTTTTGGAGTGTTTCTGGGTCTGTTTTAAAGTAATCCTTCAATGGGTGTATGAGGGGATCTGTCCTAACTTTTTCATTCCCAAAAATAACATGTTTCTAGTGAAGATATATGGGTCAGCCCAAAAAAGATTATTTTTGAAATTACATACATTATACAAGACTGGTCTGGCATCTCTGCTACAGAGTCCCACCATAAGGTCACACATTATACACGTTCTGTACAACCCTAGGCTATCCATTTGTACTAATGAAAGGTATATGACGTCTGAAGTTGATTTTGATACTGAACTATTCAGCGATATGGTTATGTTCGATTTACGCAATGCAGACTTTCAACACTGTTTGAAATATCTGCAGAAAATAGAAGAGTTAGTAGGTTTACCGCTTACAAAGTATAAAGTTGTCAGGTTACAAAGTATCACAGCCTCTGTATTTCAACTGACTGCATTTATGATGCACAAAAAGTACGTTGACACTGGTGTAAATAAACTGATATATATTGCTGACAAAGTATCATGTTACATGCTGAAATTAGGAGCCAAATTTGGGTTTATTTCTGACATGTTGCACCTTGCCATGTATTATTACAAGACATTCAGATACCAGGAAGCTTTAAGTGTAATAGAGATGACTAAGGTCAAGTTAACACAACCGTATGTTATGTATAGGCTGTATGTAGACCCAGAGAAGTATATACAGGCGGTAGGAGGACAGTCCTGGTCTACAAAGATGAGAAAGGCTGTAGCTCAGAACACTGTGCTTCTTGTTGAAATATGTTATATTAATGAATTAGTGTTGGAACAGCAGTATAGTAAACAGGGACAGTTGGATACAATATTCATTCCACCCTCTGTACTGTTACATATGCTGGACTTTTTGTGCAGTAGACATATTGACGCAACAAGAGCACTATCAGCTCTAGACGATCTTCAGTTCCTAGTCCATCATGATCAGGGCTCGTATGTACCTGTGCGTCACAGAGACTTAACATGGCAGATCCTGGGGATTTGTCAGCAGATGTCAGGGAATCTCACGTCTGCTTTATACTCTTACCAACAGTCACTCAGACAATATCCATTTCACAAAATACAAACTGCTACATTGATGAGAATGCTGGGTATCAAAACACACTCAGTGTTGGCCAGTCGTGGAAAATAAAACATTCATACTCCTATAAATTCAAAGGTAAATTTCATAATAGATGTAAAAATTATGAAGAACATTGAGTGGTATATCATACAGACGGACATATTTAAAATATAGGTTTTGTAGATCTTGAGGTAAATCCATGTCAGGAATCCCCGGCTATTTGATTCTGTTAATCCTGGTTATGAAATTTAAGAAGTTAACTAGATATTACGATTTAGAAGAAATCTGAAGTCCAGTCAAAAATTTCTTCGTATGTAAACTTACTTCTGGTTTTTTTGTTCCTTCTAATTTTTCTTTTCTAATTGAAAAGGTTGTAATTCAGACTAATTGGAATAATTTTGCGATTCATTTTAACGCTGCTTTTAAAGACATTTTAAATATAATACATCCATGAAATAGATCCATCTTGCAAATTAATACCAACTTCATTTTCAACTCCCGTCTTCCTTTCCAGAATTACTCCACACAGCTGAATAATATCCCCTCAAAAAGAAATAAAACAAATAACTTATGACGACATCAAGTTTTTCTACAAAAGCTTGGTTCCTCTTCTTACATTTTACACAGTAGCCAATCATATTCCAAAAAGAGGATTGGCTACTGTGTAAAATGTAAGAAGAGAAACCAAGCTTTTGTAGGAAAACGTTCTTTTTAACCTCAGGATGAAAATTTCAAAACCTTATTGCACATAAACAAGACACCACCAATCACATAGATGAGCAATAAGGTTTGGAAATTTTCGTCTTGGGGGCTGGTTGGGGGTCGAAAAACATTTTTCTACAGAAACCTGGTTCCTAGAGTTCCTTTTACATATTATGCAGTAGTCACTTCATCTCTTAAAATATGATTGGAAGTGTCCCAAAGATGTACCATAAGATTTCGGAATTTTCGTTTTCAACCGGTAAGCCAATTTTGGGGCAGGAAAGCGACTTTTAGTTATTTTTTTTAAATCCTTTTCCATTTTACTCAGCAACCATATTATGTTTTGGAATATGATAAATGGTGTCAACTAGATGTGCAAAAAGGTTATTTTTTTTATTTTCATTTTCATCCTGGGGTCAGCTGGGGGTCGAAAAACGACCTGGGTTCTCAGAACCCCATTCACATTTTCAGCAGTTGATAAATCATATTTTAAACAGAATGTAACTCAACTCAGCATTTTATGCTTAATTTCATACATGTATATATTTATGTAAATAAAATAACTTTTCTTAGTTACCCAGGAACGAAGGATAGTATATTTAGACACAAACTCTTATGTGCGGGTACTAGTATTTCTGCTTTAAGACAGGTATTTAATATTTATTACTTGTTCTGTGAAATATATTTTCTTAGTTATCTAAAATATCGGCAAGATTTCAATTCAACTATTTTATTAGGGAAAAAATTATTGTACATAACATGTATATATGTCGAAATTTTTTATATTTTATTCACTGCAGAAAAAAACTTTCATTTATAAGAAATGTATTGTAAATTAAACCAAACCAAGACCTTCATGATTACATGTATATGTATCTTATGCTTGCTTTGAATAAAAAAAAAAACACTTTTAGATTTAATTTTTACTTCACAACCCAAAAACACTTCAGTATTTAAAGCACTGTACACTAAAGATACTAGTAACTAGAGGTACTGTTAGGGAGTTCACAGACCATACCATCTGCTGCAATTTTTTTAAAGAAATTGTTGACGTTTCTCTCTTATGAAGTGATGGACAGACACAATTTTTACACTTCAATTTTAGTGGCCTTAAACTTGCCCAAATGACCTTGAGTCAAGGTCATGACACACCATCTTCAGGTCATAAGAAATCTTTGTGTCAAGTACGAGTTTCTATTCTTTCTCCATTACGTAATTATGATTATTTTGATAATTATGACAAGATTTCACGGACGGACGGGCGGAAAGCCAGAGAGAAAATGTGATTTCTAAAAACCATACAATTTTTTGTGTGCAGGGGATAGAATAAAATAATTAAGCTCCAAGATTATTTCAAAAGCTATGAGCACTTACAAAGCTCCTGTATAGGTGTAGATAACAAACAGAAATAAAGCTCAAAGGTTCAATACAAACTGGGAGCAGAGCAAACACGGACCTCTAGAAACATCAGAGGTGGGATCAGGTGTCTTGGAGGAGTAAGCATACCCTGTCGACCGTCACAATGACATGATCGGGCAAAAGGAAAAATTGGTAAAAAAATTCAGTGTCAAAATAATGGCCTAACAATGTGTATGAAAAATCAGTCAACACTCGACTTAACGACAGATTTTATTTGCAAAGAAGGTCATTGTATCGATCCTAAAATGTGCGAAATGTTGACTTTGTTTCACATCTGTTTCATATTTGAATGTTTTACTGAATATAGACGATAAGGGCCAACTGACAACTTAACTGTATGTCAAACGAGATAACTTCAGCTTTTCAATCGTCATCTTTCCTTATTTTGTATTAATATTCCAAAGTCACCTGCGTTTGGTGTTTACGTTTCTCAACTTATTTGAATCTGAGTACCATCAAGTTTTAAATAGAGGCAACTACTGACAAATGAATTAATGTTACAGGGATTTCAACAACCTCGTTTAAAGTCAGTATTTTGTAAAATATATGGTCGTTATAATTATTATGACCTTGTTAGCAAATACAGCCTATTACTAGGTCATATTTCATGCCAATTCTTAGGCCTTTGTTTATATACTAAATCTGACTACGTATTATTTCGTCTACTTGATCAATACATAGGGTTTACTGCCGTGTTACCAGTCGACAGCTGGGATGCTTACTTCTCCATGGCATATATATATATATATATATATATATATATATATATATATATATATATATATATATATATATATATATATATATATATATATATATATATATATTAGGGATGTCAACGAGTACCCGGTTAACCGGGTACTCGATCGAACGTCCGAGTATCGAATACTAAAAATGGTACTCGGTTACTCGGATGTGTATTTTTTCTTATTTCAAAGTACATATTTTTATCAAAAACTTATCAAAAAATAACTTAAATATGCATACGGGTAATTAGCGTGTCGTCATCTACACATGTAAACACCCGTTATCGCCTATGGATGTGTATATACATTAATTAGTGACCAATCACCTGGTACGCAGCTGTTCACACCTATTGTGGTCACGGTCCTTAATTTTTTGATGGCTTCAATGATTGTTTTTCACTGAACATCGATCGTTTAATATGGTCTATTGTCTTCAAATCATTTTAAAATTATAGTTAATATACGGCAGCGAAATTGGACATGCATAGAAATGTCTCTACCCACTTCAAAATAAGTAAAGATTCCCAAAAGAAGTTTAAAGTCAGTTTCCATAGTAAGTTTAGTGTATACGGGGAAAACAACCAACATATGAAAAAATATTAGACTAGCGATCCAAACAATGTCCGTCTCTTCTCTTTCGCTAGTCTAATCATCACAAACCTGCGTAACAGATTGTCTTCCTTTTGCGTTGATGAAATAGATCCTAAACAAGAACTGTAAACCATTTGTAATTTTTGATGTATTAATTGTCTTTTGTATTTATTTAGTACCAAAATCATTTCCGTTGGACTCCATGTTTATAAAAATTCATAAAACGTGATAAACACAGGTTTGGGGTTTAACAAATTAACAGTTAAAAATAAACAAACTTGTATTAATTTACATTTTTACCGAGTACCCGGGTACTCGATCGGAAAAATGTCCGAGTAACCGATTATCAAAAATTGACCGATTTGACATCCCTAATATATATATATATATATATATATATATATATATATATATATATATATATATATATATATATATATATATATATATATATATATATATATATATATATATATATATATATATATACTGTTGCAATAAATGTTATCGGTTACCGGGTATTCTTATCGGCGAAAATCAGGATAAAATTTTACACAGGAAAAAAAATTGCTTCTCCCTAACTCCAAGTCCATGTTGGTCATATTGGTACTAAAGCATCCCATTTCGTTTGGATTCAGTAACCCCTAAGAGTTAGGGTGGGGCCATAATATGAGTTCATATTTTTCAGGGGAAGATAATCTTTTAAAAAATTTCTGAAGAACAGCAAGACTAAAGTTACTCAGGTGAGCATTTTGGCCCATGGGCCTCTTGTAACTGTTATAGTAGAATTCAATGCAAAATTCAAACTGGGCCACATGACTCACCTGAGCACTCTGGCTAAAGAAATTATTCACAAGTTAAAATATATGTGGTCCCATCCTACTCACAGGTGTTATGATTTGAACAAACTTAATTGAATCTACACGTATTTCGTTGACTATTCAGGGCTTTAGAAGATTTTTAAAGATTTTTTCCTATATGTTTCTTAGTAAAAGTTTGATCTTCTATTGTGGCCTCGGCCTACCCCCAGGGGTCATGAATTGAACAAACTTGAATCTACACTACCTGAGGATTCTTCTGAATTGATAGGAGTAATCATGGCTTTGCTATTCTTGAGAACATTTTTAAAGATATTTCCTAAATATTCTTATTTATAACTTTTATCCCCTATTGTGGCCCTGTCCTAGCCCTGGGGGTCATGATTTGAACAAACTTGATTCTACACTATGTAATGAAGCTTTCACATGTTTCAAAATGTTGATGTTTTTAAAAGACTGCTAAAAATGAACTTTTTAAAGATTGCGTTTCCTGAGTTTTTAGCTCCTACGTTTTTTAAATTTCTCAAATACTGTTTTTTTAATCAATTTATAAAGCTAACTCGTTTGTAATTCTGCTCCCCAAAGCTTCAGTGCTATAATGGTTGGGAATTTGGACACAGAGCTCAACATTGCAACAGTGAAAAGGCCTGGAGAGTATGTCGCGAGCCTGGTCATGAATCGGGATCTTTTGACTGACAACATTGTAAGCAGAACTGATACAATAATGAAATAACTAAAATCAAGGATGAAAATGAGTCTATTATTAGTGACAATGACAATATTATGAAATGTTTGTT